TGTGAAACCTGACCATTTATTCCTACCCTTTGATCAGGACAGGCATGGCCCCATGCAAAGCTGCTCTTAACCATTGGCTCCAGTTACCCAGTGACAGGTGAGGAACTGATTCCCCTTTTTGGCCTTCCCCTTCCCCCAGCTCTGGCATGTTTTCCCAGGGTGTTTCTCCAGACCCCAAAGATATGCATAGACAGGGAGAACATTTCCTCTCCTAGCAGTGAAACCTCTAACATTCCTCAGAGCTGACTACCTCTCTCCACAAGATCAAGAATTGAGAACCCTGTGCCAATACTCCTTGGTAAAAGGAATAAGTAGAGGGATTCTCTTCCCAGTAGTTTGCCACTCAGAATGATTACGCTGGCGCACCGTTCTCCCCACACATCCTGATGGGAGCTGAGCAGTGGGTTTCGCCCCTTACCTCTCAGAGACATTTACATTTTCAAAGACCATCAGACACCTACCAGCAGGGAGAAGTCCTCCTCCTTCATGGTGGCTTCGACTTCCGCATTCTCTCAAGCAGCTGCTGAACACTTATCTTTGCTTTTCCCCAACTTCTGGCAAATATCAAAGGCTGGCAGTACTCTTTAACTCCTCATTTTCCTCACATCCTCCTTGATTCCCATCGGTGCTCAGCTGTGCCTCAGTTTCCCCATTTTCAGCTCAGGTTTTATCTGTAGCAACACCCAGATGAGCTCCAGGCACAGCAGTGCTCTGCTCTGCCTCAGTTTTTCTGGTAAGGGAACAGAGTAGCAGCCGGGTTAGTCTGTATCCGCAAAAAGAAAAGGAGGACTTGTGGCACCTTATCGACTAACCAACTTAGTTGAGCATAAGGTTTCGTGAGCTACAGCTCATTTCATCGGATGCATGCAGTGGAAAATACAGTGGGGAGATTTTTGATCTAGCCTCACTTTTCTATTTCTATTTTCTATTGGACAAAACTGAAATCTTCCAAAGTTTTTTTGTGAAAGGAGAGAGATAGAGAACAAGCGCACCCGCAAGAATAGAGAGTTGTTAGAGAGTCCCTCCCCCAAGTTCAAGTCCCTGATCTAACATGATCACACTTTCCAGTCTTCGTCTGGCTCTCTAGTTTTGACCAAAAGTTATGTCCTGTGCCTGAAAAACCTTTTGCAATTAAAGTTTAATCAAAACTGGTACACTTTCCCCAAACAAATTTTGTTTTTAATGAATAGGTATTTTCCTACAAAAAAACCATTTGTTGAACACTTCCCGACCAACTCTAGTCACAAACTTTCTTGAACGAGTTTGTTCTCCACACATATATACCAATTACATGCCAAGAAACAAAACCCCTGCTCTCGGAAATGTGGGTTCAGTCCTATGGTCCTCCTCCTTGGGAGGTTATACAGACATATACCTGCAGAATGTATGTTGGTGTCATGATGTTGGCTATCCATTGGCTTTTTTTTTTTCTGTTCAGGTCAAGCCAGAATTGCATGCATATTTCCATGTGTTCCCATAAATTCTATTGCAATTTTGCAGCTGACATAGTCTTAGCACAAAGTTAAATTCACTCAGCTGAGAGGGCAGGGACAGTGATTCGGGATGAAATACATCTCCCAGAATTGTGTGATTCATGTGTGTCTAGGACCAAAAGACTCACCAGCAAAGACTGCCATGGTGGCAACTCTAGCCATCTCTACAAGAGTGGAGAGTAATTTGGGTAAGCCTGGTGCCCAACCTTGGGTGGGCCAGATGCTTTCTCTGGGAGGGGTAACATTTTTTACCTTAGTTTTTGCCGGTCAGGACGATGGGTTTCTCATGCTTGGATTTAGCAGCTACAGCCACCCTTGACTACAAACGTGTATTCATTTCCCAGCATAATTTGGTAACTTTCTTATTATTTATTTAATAATAGCTCTGGCTTTTTTGCTATAAATTATCACTAGCATGTGAGGTAGCCTGAGGGAATGACACTCAAAAGGTGATTCATGTTCTCTCTGAGGCGCTAAAGTCACCCTTTCCTACAAAGTCTACTTGGCTTTTCTCCTCAATATGATTACACTCATATTGCTCGCTCATTTAATAAACCTGCAACCATTTTCACATAAATTATCCTTAAATTATGAGGTGTGTTTCTGGGGATCCCCTGGGCAATGATACTTAATGGGGATGTTCTCTGGTTTCCTAAGAACAAAATTTCAAAGCGCTTCACAAACATTCATTAATGCCTTACACACGCAAAGTGTTCTATTATTATAATATTGAAAATACATTATTGAATTTAGACTTGCCAGTCCTGAGTAATAGCATCACTTTAAATATGTGGGTCAAGGTAATTTATGTCATTCCTTGAACTTCCCCATACATTTGTATCCCTCTTTTGTCTTATAGATTATAAACTCTTTGGGACAGCGACTGTCTTTTAGTTCTGTGTTTGTACAGCTCCTAGCACCAAGTGTCCTGCTCCATAATTAAGGACTCTATGTGCTATGGTAAAATATTAATAATAAATGTATAAATTTTTGTCATTTTATTTGGGAGCGTGTATTGGCACACCCTGCTGAATGTATATCGTAGCTGTGATGTTGACTAGCCATTGCTTTTTCTTTGCTGTTTGTGTCATGCTAGAATTGCTTGCTGATTTTCACCTGTGTCCATACTTGTGTTGCAGGTTTTGGGTAGATGTCATCTTCAGAGTGGTAAATTCATTCAACTGTTTGGTGCAGGATAGTGAGGAGGGACAGAGACCTATCTCCCAGAATTTTTGTTTCATGTGTACCTGGGACCAAAGGACTTACCAGCAGCGACCATGTGAAGCCTGTCCTGCAGTGGTGTCTCTCATCATCACTACAAGGGGATGCCGTGTGACTTTGGGCAAACAGACCTGGGTGGGCCAAATGGTACCTGTGGCTGAGGAACTATGTTGACCTTGGCCTCTGCCTGTTAGGACAAAAGGTGGTTCATACTCAGAGGAGGAGCTAAAATTATCCTTTGTTGCAAAATCTTTGTTTCTTTACATTCTTGTTGTCTGCTCATTAGACAAAGTTGCAAACTTTTCCATAAATTATCCCTAAATTATTATGTCTTTGTCAGGATCATCTGGACAATTACTCTTATTGGGAAATTCTGAGGTTTCTCCAGAACAAAGGATTTCAAAGTGTATCAGAAACATTCATTAATGGTTGATGCATGCAAAGGTTTGTATTACACTAATAGTCAAAGCCGGTGAGTGGAGTTAGAGGCTCAAGGACAACTGAGTAATAGCGTCACATTAAAATGTGTGTCAAGGTCACGCATGTCATTCCTCTAATCAGTCATGAGCTCAGAACTCAGAATTCTTGTTTTTTTCCCATAAAAAATAGCTTTGCATTTGTTTTAATAAACATTCCTTTTAAAAATGTATAGCCCAGACCTCAGCTGGTGCCAACTGGCAATACTCCATCGACTTCAGTGACCCTATCCTGATTTATGCTATTTCAGGATCTGGCCCTATGTTTGATATATCTTCTTGCGGGACTTCAGCTTTATCAGGGACTTATTGTATTTTTATGTTATAAAAGGATGGTGTCTTACTTTTGTAGAATAGCTGCACTTTTATTTAACAGTCTGCCAGTCGTCTGCTTGAGGTTACCTTTGCCTTCAACCACCTTTCACCGCCTATGGATTTAAATCTGGTACATAAAGGAAGGAAGAGGTGGCTAAGACCTGAGACTTGCAGAAATGAAAGCCAAAGTTTTAAAAAATTGACTAGTAACTTTGGCCTCTCTTTGAAACACCGTATAGAGGCCTGGTTTTCAAAGGGTAGGTCTGAACAAAACAGAATCTTTAAGGGTGTCTCCACTTTGGTAGCCAAAATCTCTGGCCACATTTGAAAATCTTGGCTTAGGCTTAAGCCATAGAACTCATGAGTGATCTTGGTCAAATCAGTAAACTCTCTCCTCTTCCCTCTCCCCATGGATACCATTAAATTCAGCTGTTCTCCCCCTTAGCTCCCTTGCGCTCTACACAGACGTGCATGGAAGTGGGGGCAAAGGCCAACAAGCCCTGACGGCCTCCTTGGATGGATGCCAGATGCTCCAGGCCTCTCCCAAATTTGATGGAGCTGCATACCTTCCTCCCCAGAGCCTGAGATGATGGAGGCATAAAGGTCTTCACAAGGGACTATATTTATTTGGACCAGAATAGTGAGTAGGGAAGGGTATATTTCTCCCAGAATAATGGGATTCATGTGTATCCAGGACCAAAATACTCACTGGTAGAGACTACCCGGAATCTATCCCAGGGGTGGTTCTAATTCTTTCTACTAGAGTTGAGGATAATACGGTGCAAGGAATGTGCCCAGATTTCTGTTAGCTCAGTTCACAGCCTTCCCCCCTTGACAAAAACACCTTATGTCTATCTCTCACGAGCAGTGTATCTAATCCGATAGGGTGAAATTAACCCTGTGCGGAGGGCTTACACAAGGTTTATGCACCACTTAAACTCTACTTAAGCACTATTTTTCAAGGCTACAGTGGGACTTAAATAGCGCATTGACCACTTGCTGGCCCTCTGTGTAGGAATGAATTGCTACTCGTATAGCTGAGTTCAAAGACAACTGACCTCACTGGAGAGATGCCCATGCATTTCCATGGGTATTCTACTAGATCAATAATAAATAGTTAGGGGCAGAGATAATAAAACACAGATGAAAGTCAGCCTCTATCTTCAGAGTTGCAAGGGTGAACTCCACTTTGTCCCCAACTAGACTGTAACCGGGATTAAAAAAACTAAAGTAGAACCCTGTGTATTACAGTAGATTATGCTATTGATGTTCCCCTGAACCATTCATGTTTTAAAGCTCATAAAAGAAGAACAAAATAAATGAAATCTGCTTAATTCCTGGCATAACTGAAATGTGGTTAATGGATGTCAGGAATTAATTTGACACATAAAATTTTAAGATCAAAGAAACTTGCAGAGCATAATACGCAAGCCATACTGTGTGAGGCTGAGAATACACTAGCAGACAACAAACAGTAAGCAAGACAATTCCATCAGTGTTTGGAGTTAAGCATAGAGCATGATTTGTTTTGAAACTAATTAGGGCCTCTTATGGAAAGTGCGTCACAGATCCTCCAGGCTGTCTGGGAAACAGAATAAAAGCACTTGTCAGCCAGGCTCTTTTCTCCACTTCTCGTCTATTTTCCTTGGTGAACCTGGTAAGTCCATTTTGGTGAATTGTTCAATTCTATTTAAATGTTAATTTAGTGATGGCTCTCAGTTTACAATTGAATCCTGCACAAACACTATGTGAGTCTCGAAAATGTTACAGGATTTCTTTCCATAACAGAATCTTTTTTGTAGCCATTCAGTTTCAGGCAGTGGTGCCTGCAGGCTTCAAAAATTAAGACTGGGGTTTTCAAAGCTACCGAAGTGTTTGGGACATTCATTTTAACATCCTATTCATTTTAACTGGACATTAGGTATCCAACCCCCTTAAACAGCTTTGTAGAATCTCAGTACTGTAATACTGGGAAGTACTGTTTTTATATTTTAAAAATACTTATATATATCCAGATCCTCAGATGTCGTCAATGAAGGTATGATGTTGGCTTTCAGTTTCTGAGGAACTTGCCCTAAATATTTCCATAAAACTAGAGATTGGCATTCTATAGCGTTGAGATGCAACTCTATTGCTATTTTCAATGGAGGAGACTAGATCTATCAATAGCTAGCTACTAGGCAGATAGATATGCATCCAGAGTTTGGACAGAATATATTTAAATCCTCCTTCATCTGGTCAAAGGCAACTTTTACCTTAGGAGTGTTAGGAAGAAAATCCCCCTATGGATATTTTACTCCATAATGAACCAAGTTAGCTCTGAAATGACAGACACTATCTGAGACAGGATACTGGCCTTGATGGACCACAGCACTGATTCTGTATAGCAATTATTTAATTCTCATATGCAGAACTAGCAATTTCAGATCCAGATCCTCAGCTTGTATAATTTGATGTGTGTCCACTGAAGCAAAGTGCCCTTACTGGACATGCATATGAGGGTCTTGTGGTTACAGCTCTCTGTTGTGTCTCAGGAAATCTGCCTTTAGGTCTTGGCTCTGTACAGATTTCCTGCGGAACCTTTGGCAAGTTATTTGGGGCCAGATTTCTAAGGACTCAAAATGCTTTGAAAAGCTAGCTCTTAATCTTTGTGCATCAGCATCCCATCTGTAAAACTGAGATAATGAATACATCTCCCATCCTTTGCCTGTCTCAGCTAATTAGTCTGTGCAGAGCTGGGACTCGCTCTTAATTTGTGTTTGTAAATGGCCAGGAGCAGCCGTTACATCTTCAAAGAGCTACTGGAATTCAAATTAGAAATAATAATACAACAACTAGAAGTGCCTGGGTTCTAACCAGGCTGTTCCATGGGCTCACAAAGTGACCTGGGGCAATCCTTTGTGTTTGGGTTCCTCCTTCTATTAAGCATGGATAATAGCTACCCACCATTTCATATGAGTGTTGTTTTAAAATTAAGGTTTGCATAGAGCAGGGGAAAGGTAAATTGTTCTCGTAAGTGATCGGTAGCTTTTTTTAATAGTGTCAGAAGCAGTAAAAGGAATGGTAAGGAGTGACCAGGGAAAAGAGTGGGAGGATGAGAGAGAGCAAAGGTTAATGAAAAAGAGGACTAGAATGAGCAAATGGGAGACACTTGTCAGTAGGAACTAAGGAACCAAGTCATCTTTGCGCACCACTTTCTTCCTATCTACATGGTCCCATAATCATAGTATCTGAGCTTTGAATCTCTTACTCCAAAGCCTTTTGTGCATTTTGTATATTCAATTTGAGATTGTGTGTTTCAGGTTTAATCTCCATCACAGAAAGATGTCTTGCTATGGCCTACGCAACATACCATGTGAGGTTCAATGCTCAACGCCAGATGCTGTCACCTACAAGGAGCCTTGTGTCATTCAGTGCCCTGAGTCAATATTTGAGACTGACTCACCGCCGGGCATTGCTATAATCCCTGGGCCAATTCTCACCACTTTCCCTCATTACTCTCTAGTGGAACATTCAGCACTATTTGACATTGAGAGATCATTCTGCTCCAAAAGATCTCTCGGTTCTGAGGGTTTCATGAACTTGTATAATTAGAGTTTTCCATCCTTTGACACCAGATCCTAGAATCTTTATTCCTCCCAGCTCCCCAATAAATTCTGCTCTGTAAACTGTGAGCATGTTGAACCCAGTAGGAATATCCAGGGTACAAGTAACCTGGAAATGAAAAGTAAGATACAGATTCATGGCTGAGCTCAGCACAAGGAGTTTCAGAACTGCTGAGAACCCACAACTCCAATTCAAGTCAATAGAAGTTGCAACTGCTCAGAACTACAGCTGTGTGGGAACCAGAATTTCCACTGCAGTGAAATAGTCACAATTTCAAAAAACTTGAAAATTCTAATTCTAATTTGGAACAAAAACAAATTTAAAATGGAATTTTTGAAAAAAATTTCAAAAAATGTTGTTTTGACTTTTTACAGATTTTATACTATAAAATTAAATTAAAAAACAACATTGTTTTACATGAAAAATCAAACGTTCTATTCCTATGATATCTGATTATGACATAATCAAAACACTGCCCCCCACTTCCCAAATGAAATTTCATTGAAATTAATAAGCTCCTATAGAAAGTTTCAATTTAGCTGAAATTTACATTTTCCTATGTAAAACTTTCCATTGTAAATTTAACCAATTCTACTTGGTACCTCTTAAAATTAGGCCTAAATAAGTTTCTCTCATGTTATGCTTTACTTTAGATCTATAATATAATGGGTTTCCAACTTAGTTATCTGCTTGCAATGTGCTTTGTCCTAATTGACCCTGTCTGGGATAAATCAAATAACTAGAAATATAAGAAAATGGGACTTGATTGTCAAACTCTATAGTTATAACAAAGAAAGAACAACATCTTGTGTGAAATTTAAACCTGGGAATGGGTGATTAGTTGTAGCTTTTCTTGAATCCCTGGAAATGTTTTCTTTATATACTGAATGATTTCATTTGGCAAGCATACACTCCATTTGTCATTCTCATTAAAAATTATGCTGCCACATAGTATTGGTCTTCTAGTTTTCCTTTCTCCTCCTTTCCTTATTTACAAAGCATTCTGGGTGAAATTCACCCCAGTACAGATGGTGAATACTGAGCCTATGAACTATTTAACATCTACCGAAGCTAAAGTAACTGGCTAACCATGCCCCATACATGGTCTTTAGAATTTTGCTGGCCCTCTGCAAAGAGGTGATTTTCACCCTTGATACACATTTCAGAACTCATCCTATTGTATAGCAATTCTACTTCCTGGAGGGGTTTGTTTACATCTGCTAGCTACAAAGTAACAAAAAAGAGTAGCAATGAAATAAATAAATTATTTTTCTATATGACAATATTTCTGTGCTCTAAATAACATTTACTTGGAGCTCAGAAACACTCATCTTTCACTAATGAGTTAATACATATTTCATTTACTTTGAATAACCTGTGAGGATTAGTGGTAATCTTTGAAAAAGAAATTTTTCATTTCCAACTTTTTGGTCCCAAATTGGAATAATTTCCCCCCCCCCCAAGATATGTGAAATTTACTATGGGTTGGAAATTCCAGTTCCCACCCATCTCTAGTTGTATATTTCTGCTACGCCCCAATTTGAACTTGGTGTAAGCAATTAGGCTCGTGCTGAGTCCGTGTGGATACAACTATCCTTCGCTGCAAAGACTACATTCATTTTGGTTAGATATGAGGGAGCTGCAGACCCCCTACCCACCCAAGCTTGAGCTGTGACAGAAGTAAAAGTCCTATCAGCCTTTGCTCCTGCTGCATTAAGGTTTTCCCTGCCACTAACCCCTGGACATGGAATCTGGGTTTAGGGCAAGCAGTCAGTTCTTATCCTCAGGATTATTAGCATATTATTAGCATATCAATATTAGCATATGACTGCTAAGTGTAATTCTGCAACTAATGTAGTGTTTGCGAGGGTGGGGGAGAGGTTATATTTATTCACAGGTTTCAGAGTAACAGCCGTGTTAGTCTGTAGTCGCAAAAAGAAAAGGAGTACTTGTGGCACCTTAGAGACTAACCAATTTATTTGAGCATAAGCTTTCATGAGCTACAGCTCACTTCATCGGATGCATACTGTGGAAAATACAGAAGATGTCTGTTTTTATACACACAAATCATGAAAAAATGGGTGTTTATCACTACAAAAGGTTTTCTCTCCCTGCACCCCACTCTCCTGCTGGTAATAGCTTATGTAAAATGATCACTCTCCTTACAATGTGTATGATAATCAAGGTGGGCCATTTCCAGCACAAATCCAGGTTTTCTCCCCTCCCCACAAACCCACTCTCCTGTTGGTAATAGCTTATTTAAAGTGATCACTCTCCTTACAATGTATATGATAATCAAGGTGGGCCATTTCCAGCACAAATCCAGGTTTTCTCCCCCCCCACAAACCCACTCTCCTGTTGGTAATAGCTTATTTAAAGTGATCACTCTCCTTACAATGTGTATGATAATCAAGATGGGCCATTTCCAGCACAAATCCAGGGTTTAACAAGAACATCTGAGGAAGGGGGCGGGGGGGGGTTAGGAAAACAAGGGAAAATAGGTTATCTTGCATAATGACTTAGCCACTCCCAGTCTCTATTCAAGCCTAAGTTAATTGTATCCAATTTGCAAATGAATTCCAATTCAGCAGTCTCTCGCTGGAGTCTGGATTTGAAGTTTTTCTGTTGTAATATAGCAACTTTCATGTCTGTAATCGTGTGACCAGAGAGATTGAAGTGTTCTCCAACTGGTTTATGAATGTTATAATTCTTGACATCTGATTTGTGTTCATTTATTCTTTTACGTAGAGACTGTCCAGTTTGACCAATGTACATGGCAAAGGGGCATTGCTGTCACATGATGGCATATATCACATTGGTAGATGTGCAGGTGAACGAGCCTCTGATAGTGTGGCTGATGTTATTAGGCCCTGTGATGGTGTCCCCTGAATAGATATGTGGGCACAGTTGGCAACGGGCTTTGTTGCAAGGATAAGTTCCTGGGTTAGTGGTTCTGTTGTGTGGTATGTGGTTGCTGGTGAGTATTCGCTTCAGGTTTGTGGGCTGTCTGTAGGCAAGGACTGGACTGTCTCCCAAGACTTGTGAGAGTGTTGGATCATCCTTCAGGATAGGTTGTAGATCCTTGATAATGCGTTGGAGGGGTTTTAGTTGGGGGCTGAAGGTGACGGCTAGTGGCGTTCTGTTATTTTCTTTGTTAGGCCTGTCCTGTAGTAGGTGACTTCTGGGAACTCTTCTGGCTCTATCAATCTGTTTTCAATATCGTTTTGTTATAGGCACTGTACCAATGAAAGTCTTCACCAAGTGGGCCCAAGGTTCCACCACTAATCATGCCCCAGGACCCAATGAGTAATTTTCAAGAAAATTCAAGTATTCATATGGATATTAGAGTACTTGGAAACACTGAGTCTGAAAAACAGAAAGCTCTGCTCACCAGCACTGCTCCATACTGTCTCTTTTAAATTCTATTCTTTTGTTTGTTTGTTTGTTTTTTGCCTTCTTCCAGGATATGCACCAATATACAGGGGTTAGAAACCAGGCAAAGGATAGTCGTTTACACCAGTGAAAAGTGCTCATAACATGCTACTGGATCGGGTAGTCTACATCCATTGTGCTTTCACTTTATACTGATGAAGATGGCAGTCTGAGGCACAGGGTTAAGTATTTCAGCTTAATTATGAGATTTTACACCCCAGTCCACTTTGAAGTGATGCAAACTGGACTGCAACACTGCCTAGTCTTTCATCCTGTGATCAAAAGATGGGGTAAGACGATGACTCATCAAGGATGTTGCAAGCAAACCTGAATAAGTCTGTTCTCACATATTAATTTACACACCAATAAATACAACCCAGGCCCTGAGAGACAGGGCTGTGGACTCGGGGTAGATGTTTATCCTTGAGAGACTGTATTGGTTTATACCCAGAGACTACTATAATTAATGGGACAAGGCGGGTGAGGAATTATCTTTTATTGGGCCAACTTCTGTTGGTGAGAGAAAAGCTTTCAAGCTTACCCAGAGCTCTTCTGATTAAGAGTTGCATATTATTTTCTGTTTGGCTCCAGCCTGAATTGTGTTTGGGTTTCCACATTTAATCACAGTTTTGAACTGGATGTCATCTTTCGCTGAGATGGTGAGTGGGGAGGGGCATGTGTCTCAGAATTGCAGGATTCATGTGCTAGGAGCAGAAGTCCCTTCAGTAGAGATGGCCCAGAGACTGTCCCATTGGTGGCTCTAATCCTTTCTACAGCAGTGCAATGAGGCTTGATTCAAGCAGCATAACCAGACCTGGTTGGGCCAGATATTTCTGTCTGTGCAGAGAATTTGACTTTGGTGGCTGCCAGCCTGGACAAAGTGTAGTTCAGGCCCAAGCTATGGACACCCTTTGCTGCAAAGACTATGTTTATTTCTGTTCATTTATGTTCTTATTGTTGGTTTATTTTGTTAAGTTTTTGTTAGGCTATCAAGGATCCCTAGCTTATGGATAGGTTGGAAGGATGCAATTTTTATTGGTAAACGTCAGTGAACACTGATTTCATGTACACAGACCTTACCAAAACATTTACATCTGTAATTGTTAAAATTTACAGACTGGCAAAGTAATAAAAATGCTGCTTGGAAACAGAGTTTGAATTAAGGTTATTTATTTGGTATATTTTGGCATGTGATGCTGAGTCTGTGTTCTAATGGTCAGAAAGCTTTAACGTTTTGAATCTCAATGCCTACTCTCGTTAAATAATTATTGCCTGACCACCCCATCATTTTCTGTAGCTGTGAACATTTAAATCAATAAAGATAAAGAAATGCTTAAAAACAAATACTAATATTATCCACTGATATTATAAATTGAATGCTGACATGTTCACTTAAGAAGTGTTTTTCACCTGGGCAACAAGACTTATGAGGGATAGTCCGTGGATTCCTGAGAACAAAGGATTTCAAAGAGCTTCACCAACATTCATTAACATGTTACATATGCAAAGTGTTTTTACTCTAATATTAAGAGCATGTTGCTGGGTTTAGACACCCCAGCGTTGAGTAATAGCATTACTTTCAGATGTGTGGCAAGATCACGTCACTCCCCTAATCAAGTACTAATTTACACCCTCATAAATTGAGGCCACTTGATTTTTCATTAAAAGGTAGACTTGCATTTGTTTTCCTACTTAGAGTTCACTGGTCAGATCCTCATCTGATGTAAAGGCAGCACAAGTCCATACAATTCAATGAGGCTACATCAGTTTACACCAACTGAGGAACTGGTCCAGGTAACATTTTCCTAGGACAACCCTGCACAATTCATGATTCGGTTTCCCTATTGTGTTGTGAAAGGATGAGCTGCCTTTTTGGACATATTTGTAAACTTGACCCCAGTTTCAGGCTCCCTTGGCCTTCAGTAGGAAACTTAGAAAATTGAAAGCCAAGATTTTCAGTGACGACTTGCCATTTTACAGTGCCCAACTTGAGACATCATAAAAGGGGACACATTTTCAGAGGGCAGTGGCTTAATGCTTTTGATATTAAAGCCCCCTTAAGGTATTTCAACTTTTGAAAATCGTCACCTTGTGTTTAGCAAAAGGCATCCTGAGTGATCTTGAGTAAATCAATAATCTCTCTCCTCTTCAGTATACTCATCGGTTAAATAAGGCACGATATTTTCCTGACAATCTTTGGTATCAAGCTATTCATCTATTTTAGGATTTTCCGTAGCTCCCACTAGCATAGTATTTACATGGCCCAGGTAGCTCTCTCTAAAGGAGCTGGTACTGACCATTGTTGGAGACAATATATAGAACATTGAAATGTAAGGCTGGAAAAAGACCTTGAGAGGTTATCTAGTCCAGCCCCCTGTGCCAAGACAGGACCAAGAATACCTAGACCACCCCTGACAGGTGTTTGTCCAACCTGTTCTTAAAAACCTCCAATGATGGGGATTCCACAACCCCCCTTGGAAGCCTATTCCAGTGCTTAACTATCCTTAGAGTTAGAACGT